TTTGAAATACATGTATTTATTTGAAAGGCAGAAATACATAAAGGAAAAAAGAAAAATCTGTCATCCACTACTTCACTCCCCAAATGGCTGCCACAGCCATAGCTGGTGTGGTATAAAGCCAGAAGGCAGGAGTTTTTGCTGGGTCTTGCACGTCAGTTCAGGGGCCCAAGCACTTGGGTGGCCCATCCTGCCCCGCTTTCCCATATGCGTTAGTAGAGAGTTGGATCACAAGTGGAGCAGTCAGTTTTCAAACTGGTGTCCATATGAGATGCTAGCATTGCAGACATCAGATTTCCTCTATGCGCTGTGGCACCAGCCTCTACTTGCTTTTCTCTACCACTAGCTTCTTTTTCACAAAGTGCTGTTAGAGAATATTCACTTCATCCTCTACTGTGAACTGGCTACTTGTTGCTTTTACTTGTACTGGGAAGAAATGACATGTGATCAACCTCTACAGGTATAGCAACTCACATCAGGGCCCAGCCTGCTGGGCATGGAGCTGTCTGCACCTGTCCCAGCCGAAGGGGCACAGTCCACTGCTCCCAGACAGCAGCTCCACTCACCAGTGACCACCATGAATCTACGTCCCTCCACTGGGGAAGGCTCAGTGTGCAAGCTGCAGTGTCGCTGGGCCTCAGGACACTTCTAAAAAGTACTAATAGTGGCTGCTCACTGATGCCGTGGAAATAGGGTTAGCTCTTGAACTCAGGTTCTGAGTGTGGGTGGAAAACTTATGAAAAACAGAACAGTGTGTGTCTCTGCAAAGGGAGGGCAGCTGCTGAGCCCCACAGGAGATGAGAGATCCATGAGGATGTGGGTCCATCACAGGCAGCCAGCACAGATGACCGCCTGCCCAGCAGTAAACTCAGCACTATTGGGAGCAGAATGTGAGAGGGCTTCACAAAGCCCTTGGAAAATGAAATTTAAAATCATTTTAGTGGAAAACAAAGTATTTTAATAGGTAACTAGTTTCTCAGTAATGCACATTTTCTACAAGCGTTTTGCTGGTCCTTCTTATATACAAACGGGGTTCTTGTAGCAACAAGAATCAACAGAGCACATCAGATTTTCTAGATCAATCACCTTGATCTTCAACCAAAGATGGTTAGTCTTGGTTTCTCTTTCCAGACAAAGTGAAATGAGTGAGATCACAAGGAATAAATTACAACAGCAATAGCAGCAGTAAGGAAAGGAGAGTCCAACAATAAAAATTTGGGGTGAGCATTTGTGTATCCGAGGTGTGATGCTATCTACTTTCCTATTGCTTTTCAAAAGTCTTTTACAAATTAGATATTAGCTTCATTTCAAATGGAAAAAAGCAGAAGACATAAGTACCTTGCCAGTGATGGAACTGCATTAGAGCCTAGCAAATACAAACATTTCAAATTCCAGCTCCAGTCTCTTGGTAATGGCTTCAAGAATTTCAGTGCTATCTCGGGCATGGCCAGAATGAGTGGCAAAATTGATTAGCTATGTCTGACATGGGCAGGAGAGGAGATTGGAGAAGGTAAGCTACATATTTGCCTGCTGTATCTTACCATCTTTCAAAATATCATCACCGGTCAGGAAATTTGTCTCCTCACCTTAAAGTATATCTTGCTAAAGTGCCACATTGGAAAACTGTTATCAAAAAAGCCACCTGGTTCTAGGTACAAGTAGCTGAGGCGTGCCAGGGGTAGAGCTCATGCCTTCCCACAGATAACAATCAACCCGTTGGCCAAGCAGCTCTCCCCCTACTCTCTGGTCTCAGCATTGTCACATCGCAACAATGCGCCTTTGCTCACAGGGACATGAGCCCAATGGCTGGCATTGACCATTTCCCTGAAAAGTGCCACTGTCCTCTGTCTGAGTCAGCCTTATTGTTCGGAGCTTAGGGAATGAGGCATATGTCCAGAAATGGGACAATAATATGTGCCATACGCTTGTGGTCAGCAATATTGTGAGTCCTCATGACACTGAAACCTTGTATTCTGAAATAGCCACTCAGGACCCTGACTCGGATCCTGTAGATTACATTTGCCCCCAACTCTAATACCATTTCCTCCGAAGTCTTCCAGCACCACCTCAGCAGCCAGAGGTAGTTTACTGATCTTTTTGCTGCCCCAATGTCAAAGACCATGCTGATAAATATCTAATGCTTGAGAAAATAAAGTAAGCTGTGTTAATGCTTTAGAAATTGGTAGAGACTACAGTGATTTGCCGGGGAATCCCCAGAAGATAAAAGGAAAGTATTCTAAAGATACTGTCTTGGACACACTTTGATCACTTGCAAAATGCATAAGCTAATTGCCAAGATAGCAGAAGAAAAGCTGTGGGCTGTGTGCTTTCCAAGTGTGGCAATCAAAAACAGTGGGAGGCCGGAAGCATTGAAGTATTCCTGAAGGTTTGGAAAGAAAATCATACATCTGGAACAAAGACTTGTATTTTAAAAGTATATCACTCCTATGGTTCCTTGCTTCTAGTATATACAAAAGTCATTGACCTTTCCCTTCCTGATTTATATAAACAGATAGCTAGCATAGAAGGGAGTTTGCCAACACTGTGACTACATGCATCTTGTAGTTGCAGAGAGAACTTCTGTGTGAAACGTTTACAGGATTGGGACTTGGCTGAGAATCAGACCTGTCTCCTGGGATGCACTGGCTTACCGGTAATAAAATGCAGAGCTGTGAACAGCTTACGCTATCAGAAAGTTTTATGATTTCAAAAGTAGGGGGTCTTGTGACAGAGCCAGTTGAACAACTCAGACACATCAGGAGGAATTTGCCATGCCATTCTCTGAGCTGGCTTTGTCCTCCAGCTAACTCCCCTGTGGTACAGATAAGAGCTGCGATTCTAGACAATACATATCGAAGGGCAAACCCCCAGCAGCTCTGTCCTCCAATTACATTGGCTAAAATTAGGTCTCACACACACACCATAACAAAATCACTAGTAAGGAAAATGGGATTACTAAAATTGGCTCAGATAGTTAAGGTGTGTTTCTAAATTAGAGCTAAGGTCGCCTTTCTTGGAGGAAGAACATGTTAGATGAACCTGAACAAAATCAGAAATCTCTTTAATAAAATGGAGAAGAAAAACAATGTAGCTGCAAGTCATGCAACCAATGGTGTCTGCTACGCATGCCCAGTAGTAGTGGCACACACATGCATATTAACTAATGCTGCAGCAAGTCCAGATGTGTAAGTACAATACTTAATTTGGTGATGTGACAAAAAAGGCTGCTTTGAGACAAAAATCTTCATTCTGCTTTACCAACCCAATCCTCATCCCCAAATTAGGACAGTGCGTTAACCATGAAGGCATGGGTCATCTTACTATAAGGAGCTCCAGACAAAAGCTCTGCACTCAGAGGGGGAAAGCATAGACAAAGGTCCTGAGGCAGAAAGCACCTGACAGTTGCTGTAGTGATTGGCTCACAGGGAAAAGGAAGAGAATAGAAGAAGGTAGGGGAGGATTAGGAGAGAGGAGGCTTTCTGAGCCTTGTTGGTTCTGGTGAGGAGCTGAGAGTCCCATCCTCTGCCGAGAGGAGCTGCAGAGTCATTCGGCAGGATCTACAAGCATCAAGAAGCAAGAATCTGACTCAGGATGCATTGTAAAGGGTAACAGCACTTAAAAAAAAAAAAAAACAGAGAGGGAAATAGAGGCGATCTTTCATTTGTTCATTTACTCCAAATGGTCTCAACGGTCAGAGCCAAGCCACTCTGAAGCCTGGACATGAATCGGCACCACACGGCAGAGGATTGCATGCTACACTACTGCACTAGCCCCGAGAGTAACAGTAATAGGATACAGCTATTCTGCCTTGATGGAAGCAAATTACCAGACAGGTGTCAGGAATCCCACTTCCATGACCTGGCTCTGCCTGGTTGACCTGTGGTTCTACTAGGTGGACCCAGACTTTATGGGCTGCCACCATGGCTTATTCTACAGCAATTTGAAATAAATTAAAAAAAAAAAAAATCACACCTCCAAGGAGAAAAGAAAGTAAGATTCCCCCCAAAAGTTGGGTGCAAATGCCACTGCATTCTATCTACTGCTGGTCACTCCTCTGTCTGCCTTTGGAGCTGGCAAAGGACTGGGCCAGCACGTGTCCCCAGGGCCTTGACCAGTTCTCCTTTGAGTCCTGGCTGTGTTTTGCACAGCCTGAGCCATGCAGATGCAGTCCCTGCTGGATGCTGCCGGGTCCAGCTGGCCGGTTCCTTCATACTCCAGGTGGCATTACTGAGCTCAGCACATTTGCAGAGTCTTCCTGTTAAAGTACCAGTCCTTTTATTTGATTGTTTTTTTAATCATAGTCAAGTTTTGTTTTGTTTGTTTTTTTTTTTTTCCCCTCCCAACAATCTTTCCTTTTTTCTTTCTTGAGCACCTGTGCCTATGTGGAAGGCTTTGGAGAGCAGTGTTGAGCAGTATATTAAGCTGCAGTTCTGGGGACATGATGTTGCTTTGCACGGACTTCCTAGAGGAAATGAGGAGAGTTGAGCCTTTTCAAGGAGCTGCCTTCTGGCTTCTGTGAGAAAGTTGAGTCAGAGAGTGCAGAGAAAGGACACACCCAGAACAGTGGCTTGGAACCTGCTCAGGAGTCCCGGCAGAGGCTTAGGAGAGCTGGACTGGTGAGGCCAGAACAGACATGGAAGATGTGTTGGCTTAAGGACATGAGCAGATGAGGAGAGCCAGTGAATGGGTCCTGGACAATGACTGGCCCTAAGGACAGAACTGAGACAACTGCTTGACTTCGCAGCCATCCGCAGCTTTCCCCCAAGGAATAGTCCACCGCCGAAGCACCGGGGTCATCCAGGCACATCGTGGGATCCCGTGGCTCTTCCGTTTTCTCTGACCACCTTTAGTGCCCAGGGAGTTCCAGCCTGTGGCAGAACAAATTAGTACGATTCTCCTGTGCCTATTTCCTGCTGCTAGCCAAGCTGTCTCACAAGTATGGTTAATATTCACAAGTGAAATTATTTTCCTAACTGTTGCTTCCTTTTTTTTTTTTAATGAAGTATATTCGGTGCTCTTCGAACTGGTGCTTATATGGTGTACATTTTGATGACCAAAGGCCTGAAGCAGTCAGTGTGTGACCAGAGTTTTTACAATGGACCTGTCAGCAAATTCTGGGCTTACGCATTTGTACTAAGCAAAGCACCGGAACTAGGTGAGTGGCCCCTCTCCTCCCTTCCCTTCCCCTCTCTTTCTGTACACACCCACACTAAGTGAAAAGGGAAGAAAGAAGCTATTGGAAGCTGCCGTGTTGTTGAGTAGCAAGAAAGTTGTAGCGACTGAATTTGAACTCTTTTCTCTCTTTTTCCTCCTGCCTTTTAAATAATTGGTCATTGTGTATGTTAATAACAAGCTAGTTTACATAAAACACGTCAACTTGCAAACACTGCAAAAAATACTTACAGACGTGTATAAAATGTACACAGCCCCTATTCTCAGACCCCCTAAGACTTGAGTTAACATTGCAATCGGGGAAAATTTAAAAAGCAATACCTCTGTTTCCATATGGCACACCAACCATGCTTTCATTTGTCCAATTAGTATTCAGATTAGGAAATGAAGCTTTTGTTTTTTTCCTCAGTTGAGTAATCTCGTGTTCTTAGTCCCGAATGCTAAGGGTTGATTGCTGGTTCTGATTGGTTTTGATCATTAGTGAGGCTGGCCTTGAAATAGTGCAAGAGTTCACCTTCAAGACATTAATGGAAAATAGTTGCTATGTCCATTGATTTCTACTGCTTGACTTTTCATGGGCTTAATGTCCGTTCAGCACAGGTTAGCAAGAACAGTGAAAAAATAAATAACAGCTTGAACATGGACCCGGTTCTCTAAGAACACATCTTCTTCTTCTTTTTTTTTTTTTTTACCAAGAGAAGGGATTGATTGGTAATTCTGTTTTCATGTTATAAGCAACGGTTTAAATTTCAAATGCAAAGTCTTAACCTTCAGAGGTTGCAGAACTTCTTGAACAAGTACCCTGTGGAAGCCAACAGGTGAAGTCAGACGGAAGGTCAGAGCAGGGGTGGCTGTGGCCGCCAGCCGCACCCCTACTCAGTGAGCCGACTCGCTAGACTCACCTAGCACCATTATGTACCTGGCTCAGCCTGGATTCCTCCCCAGTTTCTTGCATTTAGGAAACATTGTTATTATTACTTAATTGGGAAAGATTTCTCCATTTGGGTGATTTAGCATTTTTCATGCTTTTGGATCCTAAATTCTGCCTTTCAATATTTTAAGATCACCAGGAAGAGAAGATCTTAGGCGAATAAAGGGCAGTTCTTCTGCAGACAAAAGTGAAATTGTTTTCTCCTCCCTTAGCTGCATGCTTGCAGTTCTCACTGGACCCTTTTTTTTATGGTGTTACAATACACTTAGTACCCGCTGTTGTGCAGCCATCGTGCCAGGCAGCCTCCAGACTTTGGCATTCTTGCCAGCTGAAGTTCTGTACCCATCCATGAACTCACCTGCTCCCCTGTGGCTCAGCTCTGCAAAGGACAGCTTTCCACACCAAGCCTTGAGCTCGGCATGGTGAGCTTTCAGGTTGCAATCTACCAAACAAGCACAGAAAGGCACTGCACTGCTTCATGTGCCAGCTCGGCAGCACCCATGCCTGGGATGATGGGGGAGCCTGCTGAAACTAAGTTTTGACACAACTCAGGAAGAACATCTGCTCTGAGTCTAGGTCCTTGCTCTGTTGGCCCTGTCATTGTGTTTAAAACTCTAACTCAGCAACACTCTGGTAACTATATAGGGGGCCCCAGCCAACTGGGGTAATCGACGCTCACAGAACAGGCCCTCGTGGTCTCAAGTGGCCCCAAGTATCTTGGGAATTTCCGGATGCTGATCTACTTCTCCACAGCTGCAGAGATCCACACTTGGAGAATGCATCGACAGAAAAAGGCTTGGGCTCAAGGGCAATTCATGGGTATGCAAAATCACATACCGTTTGTGCAAGCTGTCTCTGGATTGAAAAGAGTTGGGCCAGAACTTAGAGAGACCATGGTAAATGGAACACGAACTGAGAAGTAGCCAAAATGCACGACATGGCAAATGTTCAAGAGACTTAATGTCCTGTGTGTACTTGACCTGAATTCCCGCCCTAGGGCCAATGGGACATATGACTAAATCTAGTTGACTAATATGAAATCCTTAGGATAGTTTGTGTTTCTGGGTTGCTCCATAGCTGTTGGCAGTTCTGTAAATTCACGACTTGGAATGGCCTTGGCTTGTGACAAATTAAATGTGATACTATGTCACGACTTGGAGGAAAAAATAACCCAACCCCTGTTTGCCAGAATGGTGTACTGGTGGGTCTCGGCTGCAATCTCAAACGGCCCTCTGCATCCTTAAGGGACAGTCCCATTCTTATTGTGGGAACATTACCCTATTGTGTAAACCTTGGGTGGTTTTAGGATGGGTGGTATCCACAGCCATTCCTGGAAGATCCTTGCTTATGCACCTGCCATTCTTCGTATTTGCTCTGGAAAATGTGAATTCAATTTAGGTGAATTCAAATTGATTTTTGTTTTAAGATTGCGTGATGTATCTTTCCCCATTCCTGTTACTCCTTCTCCCCCGAAGTAACTAGAAACACCCAGAGTGGCTCCAATCAAGCCCAGGTCTCAACCTGAGCCCCTAAATAGGAGAAACACAAAGTAATTCCCAACTCTAGGAACTGAACTTTCTGTTACATCTTAGCCCATTCTGATATAATAAGCTTTTATTATGAAAGTGAGGCTAGAGGTAAATTTCAAGAATTGAGATGGTGAAATGCTTATTTATGACAAATAAGTTTGTGTGTTTGGATATCGTGGGGTTTACATTTGAGTTAATACCAAGACACACATTAAACATATCTCATGTAAATGACTAAACTTGATTTTGAAATACAGTTCCTGGACTTCTGTTTTCTTTCCACTGTGAACAAATATTGGCTGTGATTATTGTCTACACCTTCATCTGTAAAGAGAGGGGTGACACTGAGCAGTAACTGCCAAAACAGCCCCGTTTCCCTCCAAGCAGTAAGCCCTCAGTCTCATAACACCACTTTTGTCCCAGAAGTGCACACCTGAGAGTTACCAGCCCCATCTGCCACTATCAGTCTGACATGTACACGCCTAATAATAAAAATCAGGTACCTTACAGAAGGGGACTTTAACACAAATTTTGTGATAGGCTCAGAAATGTCTCCATTAGAGAACCTGTCGTTTTGTGCACTAAACAGATATGAAGTAATAATGTTTATCAGGTCCGTAGGGAAGTAAATTGATAACGCCCAGCTGTGGAATGGCACAGGCCCTATGGCAACCAAAGCTTTCAGAACCTAAGAGTCTTCCTAGGACGCAGTACTCTTTGGCCTGGTGTAATGTCGGGCATTTTCAGCTGTCCGTAGGGTAGGTTAGGGAGAAGACAGGACGAAGTACTAGTTGCCTTTCTGCTTAAATCTCAGAGTAAGAGGGGCTTGTAGCTGTCATTGTTAAATGAGAAGAAATCAAATTTGAGTTCGTCAAAGTTCGTGAAAGACGTTGGTTTTCGCATCCTGATAACTACAGCAACAGCAAAGAGTAAGAAGCATTTAGCTGAACAAATCTTTTTCTACCCCCAATATCTCTTCTTTTTTGCTTGTTAATGATACTAGGTGCATTGTTACTAAGCCTATTCTCTTCACCCATCTTAAGCAAATGCTGTGTGTTTCAGAATCCCAGGACTTGTAGAGAAGCATTGTAGATATAACCACCCCCTCAATGTTACCAGGGACTGGGTCTAGGACAGCCCCCACCCTCGTCTCACCAGGATGCTAATCCTCACAGCCAGAGACCCTCACATGTAATAGGCTAGAAACTGTGCCCATCTTCCTATGCACATTAAATCATTTCTATCTCATCTATGATATCTAGCACAATGCACATGCTTAGATGTTAATGTTGAGGGATTAATGGCAAAGGAGAGAAATTATGTGTGTGTTAAGTGCCAACGCAGTTCTTAAAAACATCCAATCTCACTTTGTTGAATCCAAGGATACAGAACCCAGGGATCTTGCAAGACTGCAGGCTGATTGTGTGCAATCTGTTTACCTGCTTCTCATTTCCATTGTGGAATTTCCCTACCTCTGACAGCAGAGGGCTTTTCCTTCACAAGGATATTGTTAGAAAAGCTTTGATGGCTCTTAAAAAGCTTTTTCACTGGAAAAGAATTACTGTAGCATAAAAGCAGCAATTCTCATTTGGCTCATCATCATGCCCTCAGCAGCAAAATGAGTGTAGACAACGGCTTCGGCTCCCCTTTCTTCTCCCTTGTCCTTTTGTTTAAATTTTACTTCTCTTACTGCCAAATACAAAGGAAGGCTACACGTCATTTTGAGGGTCCAGGAGATACACATTTGAGAGAGGCACCATTTGTCACCTTTTGCCTTTGCTCTTCCACAAAGAACTAAGAATATTGTGCTGGCACTTGAGTACCAGTAGGTCCTGTCCCCTCCATCTAATATTTCCTAAAATGTGTGATCAAGATGAGCATGGGAGCATGCTTGCTCATATCCCTTCCAAATCGAGCTGTTTTCAAAAAGAAAAAAAAAAAGATGTATTTATTGTCATTGGAAAGGCAGATTTGCAGAGAGAAGGAGACCAAGCAACAAAGAACTTCCATCCACCAGTTCACTTCTCAAATGGCCACACTAGCCAGACCTGAGCCAATCTAAAGCTAGGCGCCGGGAGCTCTTCTGGGTTTCCCACATGGGTGCAGAGGCCCAAAGACCTGGGTCACTCTGCAGCTTTTCCAGGCCACAAGCAAGGAGCTGGATGGGAAGTGGAACAACTGAGACATGAACTGGTCCCATTGTGGGATATTAGCGCCTATAGGCAGAGAATTAGCTAGCTGAGCCATTGCACCAGTCCCCCAAATTGTTCTTATTGACTAATCCCAATTCTTAGAACAATAGAAAATTGCCAGGGCAAGTGACTTGCCCACAACAGCAGACCCAGTAAGTCCACTAAGTATGGCTCTCATCCAGACTCCAGTCCCAGCTCCAGATGCCAGCCTTGTTCCCGAAGGATCGTTGGTCATGACTTCAGGGTCCAGGGACTCATGGCTCTTTCCCATCCTTGTCTTCCAGGAGATACAATCTTCATCATTCTGAGGAAGCAGAAGCTGATCTTCCTGCACTGGTACCACCACATCACTGTGCTCCTCTACTCCTGGTACTCCTACAAAGACATGGTGGCCGGGGGTGGCTGGTTCATGACCATGAACTACGGCGTGCACGCCGTGATGTACTCTTACTATGCCTTGCGGGCTGCGGGTTTCCGAGTCTCGCGGAAGTTTGCCATGTTCATCACCTTGTCCCAGATCACTCAGATGCTGATGGGCTGTGTCATTAACTACCTGGTCTTCTATTGGATGCAGCAGGACCAGTGTCACTCCCACTTCCAGAACATCTTCTGGTCCTCACTCATGTACCTCAGCTACCTTGTGCTCTTCTGCCATTTCTTCTTTGAGGCCTACATCGGCAAAATGCGGAAAACAACGAAGGCTGAATAGTGTTTGGCACGGAGGAGGAAACCATAGCTCAGGGTCATCCAGACAAACAATAGACAAAAAGAAAATGGCACAAGGAATCACACATGGTGCAGCTACAAACAAAACACACTAGCAGACACACACCCCGAGGCAGCTGAGGGATGGCTAGGTCTGACTGAGCCCAGTAAGTTCATGATCCTTTTTGGGTGAGGACTCGCTGAGTGTATGGTCATCTCCACACACTGCTGCCCGAAGGCCCCATCCCCTCAACCTGTCCACTGTAGAACCAATGAGAACTCACAAGGGAGCCGGAGGCAGAGAGGGACCCAAGGGAGGCAAACAAAAGGCTATTAACACTACACGGTTTAAAAAAAAAAAAAAGAAAAAACATATCTCCTAGGTGTTCTAGTTCTCTAAGGATGAAAAACCATTTGACTTTAAGAAACTGCGAGCACGTAGACACACAATTCATTCTCATCTGTTTCCACCCCCAAACTGGAGCCCGTAGAAAAGAGACAAATGGAAGAGACACGGGGTACAGATCTAGAACAGCAGTGCTGTGGCAAAAAGCAAAGCCTTGTTCAGAAAGGTTAGTGGGCAAAGCCCTGTGAGAAGAGAAGTCTTAACCTTGTTTTATTTAAACAGGTAAAAACAAAAATGCAGTATTTTTTTTCCTCTTACTACATAGCCTCATGCTAGTGAGTTTGCCCAGAAGCAAACGGGGCTCACGTCTTTTCCAAGGTTCTAGATGGGAGGGTGAGAACCAGGCATCCTGGGACCTCCCGAAGCCGCTGGGTCCCAGAGTGCATCTGATGGAGGATCTATGATTTCTGCCCTCACGTGAGGTAGGAAGCCTTATCCTGTGCTCAGCTGCCCCAGACTGAAGAGTCAAATCACTCCCCCAACCCCTACCCTCAGTTGGGAAAGAAAGGGGAAAAGTGGATGGGAAGAGAAGCCAGCCTGAAGTCAATGCCGTAGACAGCACATGCCCCTCCCTCCTTGACGTCACACACGCTCATTCCTTTCCAGATAAAACCCTGTGGCACAGTCCATGTGTTCTATATTTTTGTGAATTTCAAAAAGAAAACCTGCGAGACTTCCTGATGTAGGGTGAACACTGTGTTTCTGCATCATCTGCACTTGCTCCCCAAGCAATGTAGAGATGTTTAAAGTGCCCTCTGCTGGCCGAAGGAGATACTTCGACAAATGTACTTCATGGCAAGTTTGCCCGAAAACCATCGACGACCAGGGCCCCCCCTAGAGACATATCCGTCAAATTTTAGACACTATGACACACTCTTCATAATTTTGGCCAAATCAGAAGACATTCTTCCTGCTTCAAGTCAGTTTCAGAAATTTTTTTAAAAAGGAATCTTTTGCTCTGGAACTCAGAAAACCAATCTATTAAGAGCCATATTCTTGAAACAAACAACAAAAAGGTAGATAATATCTGTGTTATTTCAGTCCTTTACAAGCCAAATAAATGTGTCAATGTTCCTCGTATTTCAAAGAAGCAATTATGTAAAGCTGTTCAATGTGATATAATAGTATTCTAATTGGTTAAGTAGCTTAATGATTAGGCAAACTAGTTGAAAAGATTAGGGGCTGCTGCACTGCATAGATTACACACACAGATACACACCTGTATGCACACTTGTTGGGTACCTGAACTTCGAAGCCCAAATGAATAGAAACACATTTTCTGGCTAGCAGAAAAAAAGAAAACTGTTGTTTATCTTACTTGCTTTATTTGAGAGTGTACAGTAAAAGGGATTTTTTCAAATTATTTTTATATTATTTTAGCTTTAATTGTGCTGTCCTTCATGAAACAGCTGCTCTGCTTTTCCTGTCAGAGATGGCAAGGGCGTTCTCAGCCTTTTGTTTATGTGCGGAACTTACAAAGAATAAAGTTTTATCCCATTCTGTGTGAATGGCTTCAACAGTGAACAAAGAATCCCGCAAACCAAGTCATGATTGCAAGCCCGGGGAGGGGATTCTGGGGGTGAGGGAGGGTCGCTGGTAACGTCTGTGAGACTGTTCGTAAGTCTGTGATGTCTTGCTGTTGTTCCTAGATGAGATGCAGCATTGTATTGTCATGAGGGCAAAAACTGACGCGAGCTGAAAAGACAGGACCTGCTATGACAACAGATGGGTTCTCAGGACACCAATGATGCTGTGCCATAAGCCTTGCCCCCTTCCAACAGAAGAGTAGACTAATTCAGGCAAGGGAAAGGCTGCGGAACAGCCGAGTTTAGGCCCAGTTCAAGGCTCATCTGTTTGATTGAACTGTTCCGTGATGGATCGCAGCTCCTCTGCTGCAGGTGAGAATGAAGAAATGAGCCTAAACCCTACAAAGACTCAGACAGAACTTCCAAAGCACCTTCCTTGCTGATGAGGTTCATGCCTGGGTGCGCCTGTGAAATGATTTAGAATTTCTGTCTTCAGCTTGGGTGTCTAATAAGCTTTGAACTAGCTAAATGTTTCTGAAGACATTGCCAATGTTTGTCATGGCAGAGAGAAAAGCCACATATTTTTACAAAACCAAATTCTGGTATTAGGGATAGTCCAGGCTTAGCTACATTTATGACAGCGAGATATGCGGCCAGATCACTCGCCCATGACAAACCCAAAGTCTACCAGACGATTGACTGCCACGTAGATAATCCCGCTGTCTGTTAACATTCCAGGAGGGAAAACCCGAACAGGCAAGTTGAAACAGCTGCCCCACTGTGCGGCAATAGAACGTCTTTCTGTTGAAGATGCGCTACTGCATTCCCATACCAATAGGATGAAAACACCTTCTGGTTTTGTGGGGAAAAGAAGCCACAAATTCTTGATTTCACATTTACAAGATCTGAGCATCCTCCAGGTCCTTGAGTTTACAATGAAATCCTAGTGAGAAATATTCTATTTATACAGCAGCCAGAACTTCTACTTTTGTGAATGAGAAAAGAGCCACTGTTATGTTCTTTATATCTGATGCCAGACCAAAGTGCCCAAAGAAAATCAAAGATAGAAGTTAGGAATCTAGGTAATTGAATGCCATCCTTTTAATCCTAGCCTGTTATGTAAATGACAGAGAAAGAGCGATACAGCTATATAGGTTGTTTGAGGAGACAGGAAAAATTGATTATATCCCCCTCACCTACTATCTACTACATAGTATTAAACCCCCTCAGATAAAGAGAGCAAACAGTGACCAATGGATGTAAACTTAAGTTGGAAACATCACTTAACTGGGTTTTTGTAGAACTAAATGGGAAGACATTAGGAACCTAAGAGAACAGGTGTAGGAAAGTCCCACATACTGTTTTAGTTTTTGTTTTGCTTTGTTTTTAATTAATCAAATGTAATATCTTCATGATAAGATAAAGCCTGCCCCAACAGAGCAACCAAGCGCCTGGAGTCGATTGCACTGGAACAGAATATTTAGAAGTCTGGCTGTGCGCCTTCCTGTTGAGTTACCTGGATGAGATCTGCTCAAGTTACTATCTTTTCTTTAGTCTGACTGAGCAGGTTCTGCTCAGAGAGTAGGCATTACGCAACTCAGCTAACCGTAGCATACTCTGATGGTTTTGTTTTGTTTGCAGTTTGGTAAATGATTCTTTAAAAGAGCTATTGAATTGGCCAAGCACACACGCGGGAGTGCTCTCGGGAGAACCAAACCGACTTGGCCTCCTCAGTTCAGAGCTTTGAGGTGTATGCTCATGGTCTGTGCTTCTTAGACAGTTTTCATGACAGCCTAGAACATGTAGTACTCAGATGTATTCTCTTCCCAACCATTCTGTTTTCAGTAGTAAATATTTTGCTGTCTTTGGAGGATAGGCATAGAGTCTGGGTCATTGTCTCCTACAGCTTTTGAAGTTTTTTTGTCCCTTTTATATTTAATATACAACACTTTAAAATGTGTGCCTAAGACCCATGGCCGTGAGAAGTAGACTTTGCTAGGAATGCACCACAGCCTTGCCCTGTAGTGCAGACACACAACGAACACCCATCCGGCCACATTTCCCCATTATGTGCTGACAATCAGTACCAAGGGCTAGATGCCGAATTGGCAAGAAGCCAACAGCTTCTCTACATTGGTACCCAGAAGTTACACCAAACAAAAGCCAGTGCAGTGACAGCATTTTCTGGGGGTGCCTGTAGTATGACAGATGGCAGTTACAAGCACCTGCAAGCCATGTGGCATGGTCCCTAGCTGAAGAGGCCAACTGAAGTCCCTTGTGCCAAATATGGAGAACTTCATAAGCCTGGTGGACCATCACGCTGTTTTTCAGATCCTTTGAAATTTCAGGGTTCACAGGGCAAAAAAGTGGGGGAGATGGGCAGGCTCCTTTCCTTGTGCATTTGGCATTGTAGAGGCGGCACAGAAGTTGCACTAGCAGGTCCGACTAGCTGGAGGAGGTCTGGAGGAGTGGGCGTAGGGAGGGCACACACATGTGCTTTGGGATTGGAAGGTGGACAGGCAGAAGTCTCAAAATTAGAAAGACTTCACCAGAAACCCAAACCCCTGTGTACATTGTGGTAAATGCCTTCTAAAGAAATGGTTTAGGGAAACTGGCCCCGTAAACCAGGATCTATCAGGCCACATTTGCAATCCACATAAGGCCAAAATGGAGAGATCCTGACTCATGTTACTGTTGAAATACTGTTCTTTTCCCTATGCTTGGCGGCACTCAAGCCTTTCTTCTGGTGAACACTAGCGTCAAGGAGGATACCGAAGTAGCTTAACTGTGCGCTCTGGGCACGCCCGTCTCGGCCTGCCTGTCTGAGGGTGTTCGGGCATCAGGTTACTTGCTGCTACCTTGAGAACCACTGGAAGATTCAGCCTGTCGGGTACCCTGGAGGCGCCACGCCACTGGACGCCCCCTCCGAGAAGCCTCACAGAGCAAAACACAGCAATGTTGGAATTGTTATTTTCAAGTGCTTATTTCACAACATCAAAAGATATTTTTTTCTGGTGTATTAAAAATAAAATCATAAATTTTGATTTAAAAATCAAACTCTGGTGCTGGTTTCTCTTCTGTCTTACTCTGAGCACTTACAAAATGAACAGCTGAGGCACAGGGCTGCTCAGCAAGTCCATTGCTACCTTTGGCCCCATTATGTTCCTGGCAGGTTCGTGGCTCACTCCCACTCCTCAGTTCTCCAGAGGACCCCAGCAATGACTTCAGCCTGAGCCTGCTGACTTCATTCTTATAAGGAAGCTAGCCTTGTAACAGTTCCCACTGTTAGCTACCCAGAGCAGAATTTTTATTTAAGATTTATTGTTTTTGTTTTAAGATTTTTATTGGAAAGCCAAATTTACAAAGACAGAGAAAGAGAGATCTTCCACCTTCTGTTTCACTCCCCACTGGCTGCAATGGCTGAAGTTGAGCTGAATCAAAGCCAGAAGACAGGAGCTTCTTCCAGGTCTCCACACATGGGTCCAGAGCCTAAGGATCTGAGCCATTCTCTCTACTAATTTCCCAGGTCATAAGCAAGGAGCTGGATGGGAAGTGGAAGAGCTGGGACACGAACCAGTGCCCATTTGGATTGCTGGCTTTTGCAGCTTAGGCTTATTCAGTTGAGCCATCTTGCCGGCCCCCAAGAACAGTCTTAATGGGACAGGCAGTATAAACTAAGTCCTTGTTTTGTAGATGAAGAAAACAATTTTTACTAGATCCAATGTCACAGAAGTAGAATGAGATTTATCAATTTAATATGTACATGTATATCTTTATAATTAAGTCACTTGAGAGACAGCAATTTCCTATTGATTGGCTCTCCAGTTGCCCCCAGCAGCCAGGGTTGGACCAAGCCTGAGGACAGAGCTGGGAATTCAACCCAGGTATTTTGCCAGGGTCTCAAATACTTGAACCACCTCTTATTGCCTCACAGAATGGAAATTGGTACTGGGAATACATTTGGAACTACAACTTGGGCACTCTAGTATGGGAAATGGGCAACCAGATACTGAAGGTTTTTTATTATAGAATTATTTACAGTGTGCCACACATTGTTTTGACAATGTACATTATGGAGTATATAATATTATATTGTACACCACTCATCTATCAAACATTCAACATTCCTTTGTAGTGAAAAATACTATGTTCTAGGCGGTTTTTTTTTGTCTGTTTGCTTGCTTTTCTTTTTTGCATGAAAATACTGCAATACATTAACCTTACCCTGCAACAGAATCTCAAAACTTCCCTGTATAACTATAACTTTGTACCTATTAAACTACCTTTTCCCTACCAATCATCCCAGCTTCCCTCTGCAACCAGCGATAACCACCGTTTCCCTTTAGGTATCACTGAAGTCAAGAAAGAATGAAATTTGGATATTGTCTCAACCACAGTTCCAAAGCAGACATTCCATCTTTTTTTTTTTTAAGATTTATTTATTTATTGGAAAGTCAGATATTCAGAGAGGAGGAGAGACAGAGAGGAAGATCTTCTGTCCGATGATTCACTCCCCAAGTGAGCGCAACGGCCGATGCTATGCCAATCCGAAGCCAGGATCCAGGAACTTCTTCCAGGTATCCTACACAGGTGCAGGCTCCCAAGGCTTTGGGCCATCCTCGACTGCTTTCCGAGGCCACAAGCAGGGAGCTGGATGGGAAGTGGAGCTGCTGGGACTAGAACTGGTGCCATATGGGATCCTGGCACGTTCAAGGTGAGGACTTCAGCCACTAGGCCATGCCGCCGTGCGCAAACATTCCATCTTTTGAACATGAGTATAAACAAATAAAATCCTCGTACTCTGAACTGACTTTGCCACATCTTTGGACAATGTGTTTCAGGGTAGTTTATTTGTTAGGAAAAGCATTTGGTCATCACAGCACCTCCTTCCAAGTGTGTTCAGAAGTGTGCTCACTGTTACACACTTGCCATTTGTCAGGAGTAGTCCCAGGCATCCGTTCATTGGTCCCAAAAGAA